GTCATCAGCATCATCATCAGCATCAGCATACGACTTATCATCATCATCATCATCATCATCATCATCATCGTCATCGTCATCATTGGCATTACAAACATCATCATCATCATAATCATCATCATCATCGTCATCATCATCACCATCAACAGCAACATATTCATCATCAGCATTATCAGCAGCAACATTATCATACTCACCCTCAACCCCACCCGTATCCGCACAATTATCACCACCACTATCACTATCATCACCGTCAGTACCATCATCACGATCGCTACCACCAACACCACCAGCGCCATCGCAAGCATCATCATCAGCATCATTATCATCATCATCATCATCAGCATCATCATCATCATCATCATCATCACCATCATCATCATCATCATCATCATCATCATCATCATCATCATCATTACCATCATCATCATCATCATCATCATCATCATCATCATCATCATCATCATCATCAAGAACATGATCAGCAGCATCATTATCACTATTACCATTCTCAGCGTCCTTTTCAGCCGTATCCTCCGCGTCCACCGTCCTTCTCCCTGGTCCTCCATCTCCCCCACTCCTCGAGAGGCATGCCAGGAGGCCTTCACATGCAACCCCGAGGCTCCTGACCCACAGGCCAGGCAGGGCTGCACGACTCTTGACGAGTTCACTGGTCTGGAGTCGGCGGAAAGGCATGAGCCCCTTGGAAGACATGTGAAATCCAATTGCAAGCACGGATGATCGCGGACTGGGCAGGGGTTCAAAAAATGAAGCCCCTTGGCTAGCGAAAGGGGGAGTTTGCGAAACGAGCTCATGCAGCTGATTTCCATTGCGCCTCACAGCACAGAAGGCGCCAATGCGTGGAGGAGAGCAACTGGCGGAGGGGCCGAAACAAGCGGCATTCAGAATTTGTCGTACAGTGGAGGCCAGTCCACTAGAAACTTCCCACAAGAAACCCAACCCCGAGACCCCAGGACGTCAATTGACTTTCGTTGTGAGAGCGTCACGCTTTCCATCGCAAAACCATCGAAACCCAAGAAACCCAGGGCACCATGGAGGCAAGCAGGGTGTTTCTTGGCATGGGCCTCCACTGTAATCCCCCGTTTCCCGATCCCCCCCTTTCATCCGACCTGCAATGGAGGATTGTGAACAAGACCGGACCTGGAAAAAATCGGACACTGACACATCAGGGATCCTTGAGATCCGGCGGTTGTGGAAGAAGTATCGGGCGCCGCGGCCCTTCAAAGGCGCTCGGAGGCGCTCTGGGAGCGGTCCGGAACGCTGTGGAAGGATTTATCCCAGCCCTCGGCCCGCCCGAAGGGGGAGGGCGCGGGAAGCTGGGAGGGTTGGGTCGGGCGTGTCCTCCTACAGGCGGATTTTGAGCGGAAAAAAATCAACAAATATTTGAAGAATGATACTTGTTTTGAAAAATGCCAAATTTTGAAAGATTTGAGCAAAATATCAACAAAAAATAAATTATGGAGGGGGAGGGAGAGGGAACAAAAAAAACAGTTGTTTACTATTTAGGGGTAATCCTCTTATATAGAAGGACAGGCCCGAGTTACTCGGAGGGGGGGTTTGCAGTCAGCGGCCACAAGAGAACCAGACTGAAGGGGCCCTGGGACACACAAATAAATACACACAAATAAAAGGATTCCCCATATTTTCCAATATTTTCTCGGTTATTGTCTTCCCCCCCCACTTCCCATATTTTCCATATTTTCTGGGGAATCGACGATTAATTGTGTCTGTGTGTGTTTTTCCCCTCCTGACAGACGGCGGTCTAGCAGCAGGGAGAGCACAGCGAGGCACAAGACAGGGAAGCAAACGCCAGGGCGCGGCGGAAACAGGGAGCGTCGCCGGCCTGCTGGGTGTCCGCCGGCTGCACGAAGCAAGGGTTCCGCGGGTCGTACTCATCCTGTTCGCGGGGCGCCCACCGCTAGGCACGCTGGCGGGAGAGGCTTTTCCGCCCCCTCCTCTTTCGCCTGCCATCGCCTGCCTCGTCTCGTTGCCTCCCCGTCCGCCTTCCCTATCACTCCCCTGTGATTTCCCCGATGTTTATATATATATTATATATAATTATATATATATATATATATATAAAAATCAACACACACCCCAAAAAAATATATATATATATATATAAAAAAAAAAAAAAAAAAAAAAAAAAAAACAAAAAAAAAAAAAAAAAAAAAAAAAAAAAAAAAAAAAACGAATTGCCCCTCCGCCGTATCTCCCTCTCCCTCCCTCTCTCGTTCGCCCCCATCCCGCCCTCCCTCGTCGTCATCACCCCATGTTTCCCCATCCTCCGCACGTTTATCCATTCATCCCTTACGTCTCCGGGCCCATTCATCCACCACCTCTTCCAGGAGAGGGAGCAAGAAGCCGAAGGAGGGTGAGGAGAGGGAGCAAGAAGCCGAAGGAGGGTGAGGGAGGGGGTGGGAGCGACTCGCTCCATTCATGCGTTGGCAATGCGTCGAACGCCCAACGATTTGCATCA